TGCTGTGAAGCAAAGGTGGATTCCATTTGATAATTAATTGGAAACTAATCCACGAATTGAATATAAAAGAAGTTGAAAATTAACATTTAGGGGATAAAACATATTTTTTTAATTATTGAGAATTAGAATTTTATTTTTGTTATTTTATGGAAATTGGATGGATTATATTTCATTTTTGGTTTGTCTAAATAAACAAATTCCATACATTGTATTTCAAAACGAATCATTAATATTTATTATTTAATACACTTTATTGGTATATCTATTGCATCACCAAATTATTAAGACGTTTGTTTTCTTTTTGTTTATTTATCTATTTATGCTTCTTGTATCAAAAACTCAAAAAATAAAGAACAAAAAAAGTTTACACACAATAAAATATTTATATTTGAAAAAAATATGTCTATGAATTCGTATGCATAAGAAGTAAGAAAGAAACGCTTGGTTACGAGAAAGGGTTTTTCCCATTTTGGTGCACATGGGTTTTCTTTAGAACTTTCCCATCAGTTTGCGACTTTTAGCACCATATCCTAATAAATCGGGGATGTCTAGGATCCAAGGCCCCCCCTCTTTCCCAACAAATTTGTAGCAACCGACCCAAAAGTTGGGGGGGGGGGGGGGGGGGGACAAAATTGAAAAGGGGGGGGGGGGGGGGGGTAGGAGCACAATCAGTTTGTCTTATCTTGCCTCAAGGTAAGGATATTGCCGAGTACCAATGCACACTAACAAAATTCATCCCTATGAACTGCACCATAATGTGTATCATGATAGTCATTAACTCACTGTATAATGAATTAAAATATATCTTAACTTCATTAGCACCTTGTTTGATGACAAAAAACAAAGTTTTGAATAGTAATTTTTGGGAGAATGTGCGGTTAAACAATAGAGATAAGTTTTAAATTTATGTACAGAATATTTTATTGTGTGAATGAATTATTGAAAATGAGCATATAGAATAAAGAATTTTGAAATAATGGTTGTCAAACAAGGGCTAAATAATGTGACACTAACGGTGATCACTATCATATAAATTGATGATGAATTCCAATAGAAATGAATAGTTCATTCCTACAAATTAGGTAGGATCAATACACCCATAAATGATTAGGGTTTGACAAAACTATCGAACGAACCAATCGAATCGGACTCAAACCAAACAAAACGATTTTTTTTAAGTTAAATACTCAAACGGGAGAAGCAACGGGTTTGATTCGATTCTCGATTCTAGATCAAGAATCAAAAAACCAAATAAGAACTGAATTTTTCTAATTTTTTAATTAATTTATTTTAAATAAGCCTAATTATTTTATTTTTTTAAATAAATTTGCTAACTAGATAACTTAGTTCAAACTCAAAAATATGATTTTTCTTATTTCTAATTTTCAATTCAAGCCTAACTTAATCAAATTGACCTAAATTTTACTCAGATCTATTATTCTACCGTAGTGCCTTTCTATCATTCTAGAGAAATCGAATTGAAACTAGACAACGCCTCTCTTAATTATTGTGACATCGCTATCTTCATCTTCCTACGATTTTAACAATCAAATATATTAATAACTCAGTAAAGAAAAACACAAAAGACACATAAGATTGAACTACGTTATTTTATAAAAGTTAAAATTGAACATGTCATTAGTTGAATTAATATGACTTTATAAATATTAAAAAATTTAATTATAGTACAAAACTCGAGAACTGAATGGAGCTGAACCGAATCGAACGAAATCAAACTCGAATGGTTCCATAATTAACTTTGCACCCGATGGTTCCACTAACTAAATACTCGAAAATTTCGAGTTCGATTCGATTCTCATTAGAATTGAACCGAATCGGATCATGTCCAGCCTTATACATAACTATAAATTTACATTTTTTTCCCATATAATTTCTGAGAAAATAAATTAATAAATGAGTGGGGGTCATAATTGGGAATATGGCCAAAATGACTAACTTTACTCAAAGTCGGTTTCTTTTATCATTTAGTTGATGTGATGACATTTTCACCAACTTAGAAATGTTAATGGCACGAGACAAGAGATCCACACCCCCATTCTTTGACTTGCACCATGAAAATAGCTAATTGGTGACAGGCCTTGTGCAAATACACAAACCACATGTTGGATGCGCAATATTAAATTTGATTAGATATATAATAGAAATAAATATCAAATTGCAATTTGGTTCATATTCCGACGTATGTTATAAGTTCATGTTATTGTATTATATTGGTACTTACGATAATACTGGATAAAATTTCATGATATAATGAACAAGGCTTCAGTTCTTTTTCTTAGTCGACAATGTTCATTCTTCGTAGTGTATATTACTTATTAAATTATACGCATATTAAGTTTTTACTCTATCTACATGTAATAGTAAAAATTATTAACCAGTGATACATGATAAGATGCTAGCACCCAATTATTGTACTAGAAAGAAGAAACTTTCTAGGTTGGGGTTCAACTTTTTTTTTTTTTTTTAAGAAGAAACTTTGCATAATGTACTATATGCCACACATATTTGTGCTACATTTTAGTTTATTAGGTTTAATTTATTATTGGATTTATTTCCTCTCCAACAACTCAATTCGTGATAGAGATATGGAAAAGATTTTGTTTTTATCTCCCCATATAGAATAATCAAATCATGCTATCAAAAATCATATCTTCGCTACTAAAAATAACAGTAATTTCATTATCACGTCAAATATATGTTTGGTTCGTAATATTAAAAATGACTACATACAGTAATTTAAATTTTTTCTTCTCTAGAGTCCACTAGTATTATCTAACTTAACGTACTAAACTTACTACAAATGTCTTGTAAATCGAGTTTGGAATCGCGAATACAAAAGGACTCAAAGTTGCGAGGTTAAAAATATCATATGCATGACCCTTTTTTCATTAAATCCCAGCCCCACGCTTTCTCTCAAACTCTTCCAAGTATAAAACATACCTTTAACAATAAGTTTTGATTATGCAAATCTGAGAGAATAAGTTCTAAATCTCATAAAGTAGACAGCCAAGTTAATTATATTTTCCCTAAAAAAATAAACCCATTTGAATCACGAGTATTCAGTTATTGATAATTTCTAAATACACATATGTGGGGAATATGTAGAGACATACGAATGTATGTATATATCAGGGGGTAGAAATGGAAATACGAAGAACAATAGCGGCTGAAGATTCGGACTTTTCCCAAGAGTGACCTTATGAGCAAAAACAAAATAAAGTTCAAAATCTTAAAATCTTGAAATGTTTGGTAGTATTTCACAGTAAAATTCTTAACAAAAATCTGAAATTTCACTGAATACCATTCTGATTATTCCTCATAAAAATGCATAATAACAGCCCAGCAGATCTTCGTCCTTTGATTTAGTCTAACAAATTCTCCTCTTCTAATTACACGTGTCTGTCTTTCTTTTTATTCTTTTTTTCTCATCCTATTGCTCATATTTTGCTCTCATGCATGGAATCCTCCTCCTAGTCTATACTAAAAAACAAGAAATATATGTAGAGAGTATGTATATGCAGAGAGAGAAGGGTAGGGGATAGAGAAATATTAGGAAGAAATAGTCTTCTGTTTCCGTTTTAATTCTTGATCGGCTGTGGCTAGTTCAAGACCCGACCCACCTGTTTAAAAGTTTGATTTTTTCAGCATTAATTTCTTGAATTTTTTAACATTAATAACATAGGGAGAGTCATTTATATGCCTGTTTTTCGAGATTACAGTAGATATGGAATTCAAGAGAGTTTTCCTTTTCTTTTGGGCATAATTTTTACTTCCCCAAAACTGATCCAATCACTTGTGCAATACCAAGGTATAGACTTTGTGATCTCTGCTCAATCCTTAGTTCCAGATTTGAGATTTTATCTTTCGTAATTCATTGATATTTTTCTGATCTGGGATCTTTTTATTTGTTCGTTTAACTATTTGGGTGTTGGTGGACCAAGAAATAATGCATTGTTGTGCAATTTGAGCTTACTGGTTGCTTGTGGATCTTGCTTTTAGTATTTGGTTGTTAATAAGTTATTGTTTTGTTTGGTGAGCCAAATAGAATTGTTCGATTCAATGGAGGAGGATCAAGAACTGAGATTTGTTTGCAAGTTTTGCAACAAGAGGTTCGTATGTGGTAAGTCTCTGGGGGGTCACATGAGGTCTCATGTAATTGCGAATTCTGCTGAATCTGAGGAAAAAGTTGAAGCAAACATGAAAAGGATTTCTTCTTTAGGTGGGCCGGGAAAGATTATAATAAATGAGTCGAGGGTTGTTGAATTTGCTAATGGGCAATCCAATTATGGCCTTAGAGAAAATCCCAAGAAAACATGGAGGGCTGTGGGTTCGACCTTTCCTCTGCCACAGGAGAAGGTTTGCAAGCAATGCGGTAAAGGGTTTCAATCGTTGAAAGCGTTGTGTGGTCACATGGCTTGTCACTCGGAGAGGGAGAGGGGTTTGAAGGACGATCATTCCTGGACGAGTGAGAATCAGAAACTAGTTATGGATAGTCATTCGGATACTGAATCTGAGGACAGGATGTTGAGAACTAGAATATCAAAGAGCAAGAGGTTCAAGAAAATCATTGTCAAGTCGTCCTCCTTTTCTTTTGCTAATAATGGTTCTTCGACTGTTTCTGAGATCGATGAGCAAGAACAAGAGGAGATAGCTATGTGTTTAATGATGTTGTCTAGGGATTCAGGAAGTAAAGGTGGTGTGAATTCAGTTGTTGAGTATTCAGATAATAATTCAGTGATTCTAGAAACTAAATCTTCTTCTATTGACATGAGAATTGGTAGAAAGGAAGGCTTAAATTATGTTAATAATCAAGACGAGGCTTTCCAGAAGAAGAAAATTGGGGATAGGAAGTTGGAAGGTAGAACTTTGGATGCAGATATTGCTCAAATGGAGAAATCTGATTCAGGTTATTTCTTAGATGAATGTGCTAAGGTTGAGTCTGATGGATCAGTTGATGGCTATCACAGAAATGGTTCTTTCGGTGAATGGAAGAAGTTCCAGACGGGTGTTGGAGCTATAGGCGAGGAGTCGGTTTCTGAATTCAAGAAAAGCTTGAACAGAATCAAGAGTTATAAAACAGAGCTTGGGAAAGAGGTTGCCCGAGAAAATGGATATGATGATGCTGGTAGAGTATCAAATTCGGCTAGAATTGAATCACGAAAGAGAAAGCATAGATTTGAGGTGTCTGAATGTTGGAATGAATCCGGTAGTAAGATGAAAAATGGCTCTTCGGATGATCAGGTGTTCGATAATGCTCAGAAAAGAAGTAAATATCAATGCTTGAACTGTAAGAAGACCTTCAACTCTTATCAAGCACTTGGTGGGCATAGACCATGCCATAAGAAAAGTAATGCCATTTTTGAATCGCGATATGAAATGGGTGAGAACAGTCTAGATGGTGCGAATGACTTCAGAACTGCTTATAAGCTCGGAGAGTCTACTAGCAAGAAAAAACTGATCCCTAAAATTTCATCCCATGATTCAAAGAAAGGAGTTAAGTCGAAGAAGAACAAAGTGCACATATGTCCATTCTGCGACAGGGTTTTCAAGAATGGTCAGGCTTTGGGTGGCCACAAGAGGTCACATTTTATAGGTGGCCACGAGGAAACTAGCAGTCGAACTCCATTGGTGAAGCCAGAGCTTCCTGATTTACTTGACCTTAATCTTCCAGCTCCTGAGGAGGATGAGGATGACGACCATGGCCAATTCTTCTCGTGGTAGGTTGGAAATGAATGCTCGATTCGCTGTGACTGCTGATTGTGCTCCTTCAAGATGCTACAATAGACAGAATTCGGTGTCCAATGGTACTCATTTGCAGTTATTTGGCTCATATTACTGTAAGAAGCCTCCCAACATCCAATTCTTAATCTTCGTTTGGCTAGATCCAAGAATATGCTGCAATTTTTTGCAGACTTCAAATTTATCTGTTTATTTAGTTTTCAAGCAATGGCACTAAAATCAGTATGTTTCTTTTAGTTAGTTCTTTGACTAAAGACTAGAAACTAAGATTAAATCATTGTAGTTATGTTGTCATTCATTTCCTTTTAGTATGCAATTTGAATTCAATTGTGTTCACCATTGTTAGAGTTCTTAGCTGAGAGAATTCTTAGCTGAGATTTAATTGCCTAATGGAGAACTTTTATTGGGTTTTAGAAACTGAAATCAAGAGGTGTAAATTCCCATCATTGGATATGATATATTATTTCATGGAGATAACTATCTTGGCTGCAAACTATGCAGATTATTTTTTACATCTATACATAGATATAACCGTAAATGAAGTTGGCGGAGATCTGCTTGTTTCTTGAAGTTATAATCTTGCAACTTGATCAATATGATATAACCTTTCTTTTGTTTCCTCACTTTTTCACTTATTCTTGCCTTCATTGGTTTCCTCAGCCAAATTTGTTGTTATTTTGGTGTTTTTTTCTAGCATTGGAACTTATATGACTTAACTAATGTAATAGTCACCATCTTCGCCTTCCACTAGCATGCAATATTAAACACTACTCGACTTGACAGTACAATGAACAAGATTTTAACTTCTTTTTCTCTCATTCGAGGAAAATTCAAGTGCTTGGTAAGGAAGCTGAGTTCTCTCAAAGTGGTTGTGTTATGTCAGTAGTTGTCTTGGGTATTTGGTTGCTTCGCTTGCATTGTAATAGAAGTCATGGGGTGGGTGGGGGCGCTGCAAAGTGTGATAGATATGATTAGTTTTCAGAGATATGAATCATGTCAGAATTCACCTACCTCCAGGTACATCTGAGTCCCTAAAAGGTTATATCATTTGCCTTCGATAAAAAAAAAACCATTTAAGCAGCTTGTTCAATATTTTGTAGAATCGATATAATAAGATTTAAATTTATTTTTCTTTATTAATAAAGTCGAGTCGACTTTGCTAATTAAAGAGGTCATTAGCGTGTACTTATTCGACTCCACATGTTAGTTGTTTCTATCTTTTTGCACCCAAATCTGTCTTCTTGCTTTTAACTTCATTTTACACTTGGATCAGCCTTCACCTCACACAGCATAAAGATGCAGCAGAGCAAATTCAATATACAGAAGACTCATTTTTATTATACTCACTAATGGTAGACATCATCCACTAGATGTGGAAAATTTTGTTTAGTTCAAATCCAAATACAACATGTTTTGTAAGCGGATTTGATAGTACAGTCAAAGTTAGTCACTAATGGTTGCCGTCGTCCGCTAGATTTGGAAAGTTTAATTTAGTTGGTTTGCAATTATAACATCTTTGATAAGTGAATTTGATCGTACAGCAAAACCTGGATAAATGAACATACGATAAATTAATTAATTAATCATTTAGTTTAAATAATGAATTTTTCGATTCGAAATCGACTAATGTACTAAATTAATAATCTCGCAAAATAGGTAATGTAAAAATTTTATTTAAAATTCTTTAAGGCCCAAATAAAATATAAAATAACTGATTAAATATGTAGAATTTCATAATACATATAGGGATTTTTTTTTTTTTTTTTTTTTTTATTTAAAAACCACCTTTTTTTTTTTCAATTCCCCCCCCCCCCCCCCCCCCCCTGCCACGTAATCAATTTTTGAAATCCTGTAGCAATCCGCGTGAAAATATGCATCTAATGATGCTTACTTTTACTGTGTACTCAAATTAAATTCAGCACATATCTAATTTTTTACAGTGTACCACATCTAGTAGTTTATTATTATTATTTTTTTTAAATCTTGTAGAACGTAATTATTTAAGGCAAAATAGAGCTATCATCTAAATCATTATCATACTCGGTGAGCATATTCATGATCCTTTGAATAATCTCTTCGTTAATAAGTTATTCCATCATCGTACCATTTTCAATAGGATAATAAGGTGCTCAACATCCATGAGTTTTTAACATTGACGAACTTAATTCGTGTAACTGTAAGCATTGTGGTTTAATGTACCCTTAGTATATTCAACATGAATTGCTAAAACTTATTGGTAAAATTGGTGGACATATTATATTCCGAGTTAATTAAAAAAATGCATATGATTTATATTCTATTAACTTCAGTGTTCTAAAAAGTGTAAAGCGTGACTAGACATGGAGCAGAAGTTTCAAGCTTTATGAGCTTGGACGAACCTAGGCGAGCTTAGGATTAAAAAAGCGTTTTCTTATTTATAATATTATTTTAAATTTTGAATCATTAAAAAATTATTTAATAATTAAAATAATACATATGGAACATTAATATTATAAAATACAATATTTAATTAACAGCTCCAAATATACAACTTTTCAAAATGCAAAAATTAGAATATTTTTCATAGTTTCAATTTTCAACTAGACAAGTCCTATTTAATAAATTTACAAGAACTCCATGCATGCTTTTGGAGTTTGTAATAAAATGAGTATCAAGATTAAAATTACATAATGTGATAATACCAAAACTTAAATCTTATTTAACTATTTAGATAAAATCATTTTTAACTTTTTGTAAAGATAAAATCTTTTAAAAACTTGAAATTAAAGTCAAATGAAAAGTTTTTTTTTTTTTAAATAATAATAAGCTAAAGTCAAATGAAAGACTTTTAAAAATAAAAAATAATTAAAAAAGCTAATAAAGCGTGTCTACAAAAGATGAAAGAAATGAAGGAAAATTCAGCCATTTAAGAATTGGAAAAAGAAGCGTCTAGGAGTGAAACGAGGCGTTATGTCTAAGCTTTGAGCCTAGGCACCGCTAGGCAAGTTTTGTAGAACACTGATTAACATGCAAAATATGGATAGAGATTTGAATTATCGAAACCAAGATACGTGAATGAAAAATAAGCGAATTGATGACATAGACTTTCACATGTGTAGAAAGTAAAAGGTAAAATGAAGCAGGGATGTGATTGCAAATCTCCTTAAAACATATTTTGTTCATATACTAGTGCTAAAATGATCAGTTGGACGAATATCTTTCAAGATAAATGCTTCTTTTAAAATTAATATAGCGTTATATTAATTTTATCAGATGAACTAAAGCTTGAATGTATTCTTCTAGATTGAATGATATTGAATACCAAAATATCGAACATGAAACTTGAAAACAATTTGAAAGTTAATTTTACATAATTTGGAGAAGGGATGAATGACAAATCAATTGAATTAACACATCTTTTGGCACAAATTCATTATAAAAGTTAGATCATACCACATTATTTCTTAACAGTGTAGATCACACACATCCTATCAAGATGTCGTGAATCTTTAATCATGTACATATTGTACTTGAAGATTCATACCCAATCATTACACCTATTGAAAACTAATTTCAATTCACTCATTTAATCGTTATGTTCCCAAAAATTTCTAAAAAACTAAAACAGCAACGTATTTTCTAAGTATCGAATGGTGTAATATACATATTTTTATAATATTGTCCCCATTGTTTTACGATCTATATTATCCAAAAACTATAAAGACGTGCAGTATGTTCAATTTGCTTAGTCCACACTGCTACGACATGAAATATCATTTCAGTGGATGCTCAATCATTGTAATTACTAATTAGCATTGTTGAGCTCGATTTTCTACTAGATAGCATAATCAACATATCTTGATTTGGAGAAAAATGAATTAGGGTTAAGGTGGGTTATGGTGTGGAATTGGGTGGAGTACTGGAATATGAGTGGAGTATACATGATTTTTGAAAGATTAACTTTGTCATTTGTTTATTGAAATGATATATTGAAAAATATGTGTGCGTATAATTTTCTCAAGTAATAATTGACGTCCAATATCTGGCAGCCGTAGTTGGAGAAGTGTCGATGTTCATATAATGCATAGCTTTATATAGTTTTTTTTTCCCTTTGTTTTTATTTAGTTATTTTACTTATTTTCGTAAAAAATGAAAATCTACCATTTTATCCTTTTAAAATTAACCCCATCGAACATTTCCAACTTCACAAAATCCATGGCAAAATCTCTAAGCAATGGCATAGAAAAATCCATTGCAAATGCCAAATATCTTGAAATATAGTCATTTTAAGATTGTTTGTGAGGGTACCACTTTGCAGTGGCGTGAAACAACATTATCGTAGTAGAATTCAAGACACGGGAAAGCGCTCTCCTTTATATTTGTCATCATAAAAAAGTGCACAAGGAATTCAAATAAGCCTCCAAGATACAATGGAATCCAATCATATTTGTTGAATTATTGGTCTTATGCACTAATAAAAACAAATTGAACATTGTAGATGAATAAGAATGTATATGAGTCTTTGTCACCCCCATACTGTGCATCTACCAGAAACAAAGTGTAGTTTTGAATAAAGAAAAAATAAATAAAAAAATTTAAGATTCAAAATGAAGAAAATATAACAATGGTGAATTTTCATATATCTCTAAATCTAAACATCAATTTATAGTTATATATGTTAATACAACCATTTCAAAGAGTTGCATCCTATACAAGAGTCGCCACACTTAAAATTTACAGTTAACACGACCAATTTGGAGTGAAAAGAGATGGACAAAGCCGAAATCAGCAGGAATAGGCACGAACAAGAGACGACCGTCCCAAGTATGTGGGCGGCTGCTGCCGAGCGTGCACAATTCCCTACATGGAGCGGCCTGATTGCTCATATGCATTGGGCAGCCGTCGCCTAGCTCCCGTGGCCATGGCTCATGCTATTCCATCCTCCATCAATCCGAGCTTTCCTAAAATGATTTTGCATATCATGTTAACTCTTGTTGAAATCATATAATGTCAAACATCGAAATTATTAGAAAATTTTCATGAACTTGTACTGGTAAAAATGTATTACACCCTACCATGTTAAGTTTCTAACGTAAAAAATTAACCTTGCCTGGTCATTCAAATCATTTAGACAAGCTCATGTAGGAGAAAGTGACTTGATAAAAAATTTAAATAAATTGACTCAATTGTTATTAAAAAAAAAAAAAAATCTTTCGTAAGGAATGGGATTTGTAAACAAATAAATTAGCACTGCAAGATTGTGGAAACTTTTGTTATTGGGAAAGGGAATTGCGTATGGAGCTATTTAACTAGGAATGATTGCGAGAAATTAAGAAGATAAGGTTCTAATCATCAATAAATATAATTGGGTCAATTTACGCCACAAGAAAACACGAAAACAGTAAACATCAAGTCTCAAATGTCGGCTAACCGCATCTTAAATCATCATAAGGTTCACCGTCGGCCGACTCTGCCGATCATTATTTTTTTCTGTATACTTTACTTTTCTATCCCGCGTTTATGATTTTTCATTAGTTTTTGAAGAGAATAACACTATTGAGTCAAATGGTACGTAGAATGTTAAATTTTTATGTGGTCCTTTCTTAAAGGTTGAACCTCAATCTTGAAGGCTCTCATCGTCCTGCCCCTAAAGCTTTGTGAGGGAGGTAAATCGCGGGATGTGTCCCATCAGGTCAAGGAACAAGAGCTGCCTGTACACTGCGCCTACAAGGAGTCCAATTTCATGTTTCAAGAATCAAACACCAACACTGCGATTGCCAACAAGGCATGAAATAACCTCACTCTTGTCCTTTGTATAACTGGATTATGCCCCGAAGGGCTGTCCTTTCTTTCTTCTATACAAAGTGTATGATGAAACCCTATCGATTTCGGATAGCTATGCATGGAGCAAATTTATTTTGAAGTCCAATCCTAATGTTTGGATTTTGAGTGGCAATAAATCGAGTGCATGTACACACACATATATATCGTCTACTAATACACAAACCAATAATATTTGGATAAAAATCCTTTTCAATGTCCTTAATATCATTTAATTGAATAATTAACCTTGCCTCTTGTTTGAAGAAAACCTCAACTTCTATCTATTCACTTTAATTGAGTAATCGTTGCCTGATTCAGTCCCTGTTAGGATTGGAAATTCTAAGAAAAAATTGACCGTTCTACGTGACATAACCAATTAAGAGTATTGAGAGTCAAGGGAAATTGATTTAGAAATTCTTGATGCTACCCAGAAAAATAAATAAGGGTACACTTCTTGCACATTTTTATGGTCTAACAGCTAGTAAATTTTTTAGAGATCACTGGATTTAAAATCAATCTATAAATATGAAACGAGTTGAAATGTTGAATATTGAAAGCAAACCAGTAGACAATCTAGCGCATTTACCATGAAAATGATCTTTTATTCTAATGGATCAACATGTATATCAAGATTTACATAAAGAATTATTTAATGTCTACATGGCACTTTACCATTTGCCAATTTAAAACACTGTAAACTTTTTTATCCAATATTTTCCCTCCATATCAGTTTCGGTAACCGTTTATGTACCATTTTTATTTACAAGTAGCAAAATCTTTAGAATTTTAAGTGTATGTCTTGGTCAAGATTAGAAAAGAAAAGGGCAGTGATAAAAATTGGCGATTCCCATAATACATGTGGTCAAAAAGTGGATAAATTTTGTAAATTAATAAAACGTGTGATAAAAAATGACATTTAACAAATTTCTTACCAAATAAAAGCTTTACCAAACAAGGAATAAGTCCTTTGTGTGAGAAATTATTTGAAGACTGATTTTTTCAAAATGTATTGTTAAAAGGTAGGGAAAAATTATGAAAAATAGCATGAAAATGTATTTATTTTATGTTTTGAAAATTTGAATTGAGAAAAATAAATTTCCAAAAATCATTCAACGCAAGCAATAACTTAAATCATTTTCAATTACAGAGTATCTATTATCATAAAAGTAAGTGGATGGGCTAAGTGTGTACCCTCAAATTTTATACATTTCGCATTCCAGATGGCACAATATCCCCAAGCAGTCCTTGGTCCAGTTGGGTTCGTGAACTTATTGGCACTTTCACTTCATCAGATTCTCCAATCTCGCCCGCAGCTGCTGGGACATGCTGTGATCGTGCAACGTGGAGTGAGTTTTCTTGAGAGTATTGGAATCCTGCAGGGTGATGAATGGAATGGGTCAACCTGCTGGCAAATACAGCCTGATCCTGAGAAATAAGTCCACCTCTAGGATACGCAACTGAAAGGTGACAGTGCTGCCCTTCGTATGTTGTTATCACTACAGATGGATCGTCGGACGAACGTTCGACTCTTTTCTTAACTGTGCATTTGCTATTTGTACACCGGTAATAGCTCCTGCATAGAAGACAATGCCGTTAAAAGAAATTTAGCTTCTTTTAAGTCCTTAATTCCATCTAATACCTCCTATTCATGTTACAACGCATTAGATATCATACGACTCATTAGATATCATGAGATGTAAAATACACACTGTTGAGAATTATAAACCCTAATTTTATTCAACCAATAGCAATTAATGTGAAGAAAGAAAAATAAACACTCAATAGCACCCAAGATTTATAGAAGTTTGCCTCAATGTGAGACATCTCCTACCGTTACAGTAATTCACTACAATGAAAGAAAGTTTACAAAAGAAAATCACACTCATATCTTCCCTAACCTATCTCTCTCTTTTTAATGATAATAATAAAACCTAATCTCAAATCCCTATTTATAAGATAAATTAGGAGAAAATCGAATTTCACAAGAACTCCAATTTCTTAATAGAATTTTACAAGAATACACATTCCTAAACAATCTGTAAATTAAATTTTGGTCCAAGGGCGTGAAGTAGTAATAATTAGGATCAATAATAATTAGATTCCACAACTTAACATACACTAGCTAGATGCATCGTGTTTATATAAAAGTTCATTTTCGTATTTGGCATATGACAAAGGAAAATAGGACAAAACAATATTTCAAATAATTACTGAATTAGCTACGCTGATTGAGCTATAAATTAACTTGAAAGAAACCAAAATAAATAAGAATAAAATTTGTCTCTCGTGCTACAAATTTGGCAGTGCTTTAACTAAAAGCAATTTTCGCTATATCAAACCCTATTATTTGAAAGAAAGCAGAACTCAGAGTGCTTTAATTTCCTTTACCATAATAAGAAATTAGTTCAGCCACGATGTCAGGATACATTGTTCAAAATAATAATAATAATAATAATAATAATAATAATAATAATAATATATTTATATCCAAAATCTCGAAAATATACTACTGCCAACAATTTAATTTCTATTTCTATTTCCAAAATTAGTCAGAGGACTGCTATAAGGTTCTACCATGATATTCATTGGCTTAAATTTCATACACAACACATCTCAAATCTCAGTTGTACTCAAGTGAGATGAGACATGCTAACAAGCCCCCTCGGTGCCAAGGATGGAGTCACTAGACACTCATCTCAATACAAGTCTAGATAAATAAACCCAAGTGATCCCTAACATGCTTACATTTGCTTCTACCTAGATCAAGTTTGTATCTAATGTAAAACTAGATTATAACGTGAGGTATGCATTCACCTTATATATTGTAAATCTCAATTATAGAAAAAACAATGTGTGTGTGTGTGTATATATATATTGTTAGTTTGCTTTTAGTTTTGGTCTTCTTATATATAATTCTCAATAGAAACAAAAATTTTTGGCAGCTCAAGAGTTGGTTCTTCTTCTTCTCTTCCTTTGGTTGATTCATCAATTTAGTTTATATTGTTTACATGGTATCAGAACCTATATTTGAGTGAAATCTCTGAAGAAAAATTGGTAAAAATAGCAGATAGTCACAGCACAAATTTCTGTCCAGAATACTGTCATAACTGAACCTCCATTTTTTTTTTTTTGGGCCAAACTAGACATTATTTGAGGAAATTAAGACCATATCATTGCTCTACAAATTGAGGAGAATCTTCTGATTGGGCGCGTGACAATGAATGGTGATGCGTGATGAAAGCACATGGTGTCAATTGCAGAAAGTGTTTGCCGCCCGTGAAGGTGCATTGGTGGGATTTATAGGTGACTCTAAAAGGCAGCTTCTTCCTTGGTTTAGCTTGATAAAACGTGTACTCTGCAGTATGTTCCAATGGTAGTTAGAGGCCGTGCGTTGGTTATCGTTGATTTTCTTAGAATTTGGTGATTTCCTTGATTTGTAGTTGATTATTTATTGATTCTATGATGGTGACTGAAAAGGATGATTCACTTCAATTCATTATTGTCAGATTAAATGGTAAAATTTATTCTTATTGGAATACTATGATGAGGAATTTCCTAAAGAGAAAAGAATTGTGGGGTTATGTTAGTAGAACCATTGTAAAACCTAAGATCACTGTTGATAATTATGTGACATAGTTAGATAAGTGTGAGTCAAACAATGCGAAAATACTTACTTGGATTCATAATTCTATTGAGCGATCCATTGGTACATAGTTGGTAAAGTTTGAAACTGCATAAGAAGTTCGGGATCACTTTCTAGACCTATCTACTAATTCCAACTCTGCAAAGCGATATCACTTGGAGATTGATCTACGAGCTTTACAACATAACAATATGAGTATTCTTGAATTTTACACTGCTACAAATTTGATTTCGGACGAGTTGGCTCTTACAGAATCAGTATAACTGAAAGCATGTAAAGAATTTATTACTTTTAGATAGGAGTGGTGATTAATTTAGTTTTTTATGGCACTTCGCAGTGATTTTGAGGGATTCAGATACTCTATCTTACATCGCACTCCACTTTCTTCAATTGATTAAGTGTTTATAAGAGTTACTAGTGATACGTGTAACTTTTGTAAACAAAAGGGACATTGAAAGTCTCGGTGTCTTAAACTATTGAAGAAGTAGCAACCCCAACGACGATCCTATCATCCCAATGCTAACATAGTTGCCCCATATCACTTGGTGACTCATCTATACTTGGAGTAGCATCTTCCTCCAACCCCATGTTGACTGATTAAGTATAGCAGTTTTATTAGCCACATACTATGTCAGCCCCTACTCACATAGGTTTGTGAAGGTTAAAAACGTGTTTCCAAAAATGCAACTCTTTAGGTAATTGAAGCCACATGGCAACCTCCTGTTGGCCTATTCTTTTGACACCGGATTGTGCTTTCTATTATGAATTGTGAGCCATAGATTTTAATCAATGGCTGGGATCATTCCAAGAAAGTATTTTTGTGGGTTGACCGTGGTTTTTGGAAGAACTCTCTCATTGTTTTCTTCCTGAGTTTTCGAAACTCTCTCTCTCTCTCTCTAAAAAGTCTCAAGTGTATCTTTCTTCTTTTACTTCCAGTTTTGTGATTGTGATATAGAAAGGAGTTGTAGCCCTATGTTCTCGATCTTGTATAGTTTCCTTGAGTCAGTTTATTGACTAGATTGATTAGGCATCTATGTTCGATTTTGTATAGATCGATTAGGGTTAATTCTTGAGGTTTTAGAGGCTGAAATTAGTGGTGGTGTTGTTCTCGGTTATGAGTACAATCTGATTGTGTACCACCTGTAAACTAAGGCGCAGTGCATGGCATTCAACGGGCTTATCCCTGAGCCCCCCCAGATTAGCCCTTATTTGGGTGAACTTGGTCACCAAGTTTTGGTGTTCGTGTTCTTTAATTTTCCGCACGTTATTACTTGTTTGTGATGCTATGATTTTTGCCGATTGATAGATGTTTTTGGTTTGACTGAGTGGCTAAAAATATAAGATTATTGACGTAAAAACAAATCTGGGACCAATAATCCCAACAAAACTGGTATCAGAGCTTGCATTAGGGTTCTTGAGTATTTTTGTGATTTCTGAAAAAATATTAATTGACAATCGTCCTTGGTGAAAAATCTTTTTCAAGTCTGTAATTTGTGAAAAAAAATTAATTGTGGACATTTCTCTTGGATCATATACTGAGGTTCTTGAAATTGGATCTGGCTAAATCTCCGGGGTGCACACTGGTGGATTTTGTAGACGAGTCTGGTAAAGATATTTGATATTATATTTTCTCTCAAAGAGCCTACTGATATTGTTTGATCAAGTGTTTCAGGTTGAATTACTATTTTGGTTCCACTAAATTGGAGGTGGACTTGCTGGACTATTAGCTTCTTGATAAGAAACTGGATTCAGAAGTATTAAATTGTTATTCAACAGTTTTGGTGAGATCGTTTAAATTTCTTGAATTCAATTTAAAATCTCATACTGGTTTCTTACTATTTAATGCAAATTGGAATTTGTTGCTGCATGCTATATTGATATATGGTGTAATCTGGATTGCATAACTGTTAATTAACGAGTTACATGTTATTGCTGAGTATTACACATATCTGGACTGCATAACTTTTAATTGACGAATTATTTGTTATTGCTGATTATCATACATGCCTGCAGCACACACAATTCACAATCTGACTGTTCATTTCATCTGTTTAATTCTGAAACTATTTCTTGACTAATCTGTAAAACCTGAGTGTTTTTTCAGAAACTTTTTCTGCTTATTTTTGGGAATATGAGATTACCAAATGGCCTCAAGTTCAAATCACCCTTCCATTGAATCTGTTATGGGTTCAATGGTAGAACTATCTCAATTTGATGGAAAGTGGGATTACTCGATATGGAAGCAAAAAATGAGGGCTATTTTAGTCCAACAAAGGATTGCTAAAGCCCTTAATGATCCTGAAACATTTTCTGTTGAATTAAAATCTAAGCATGCTGTAATTGAGGAAATGAATGATATTGCATACAATCCTATTATTTTGCATTTATCTGATGATATTGTTAGACAAGTTGATGAAGCTAAGAATGCTAGGGATTTATGGACTGCACTTGATGCTTTATTCCTAACTAAGACATTACCAAATAAGATTTACCTTTTGGAGAAATTGTTTAGTTTTAGGATGGACCCGAGAAAGGACTTAGAAGTGAATCTAAGTTATTTTAGTATAATTGTGAAGAGTCTTGCACATAATGATAAGAAATTTGATGATGAGAATTTGGCTGTCATCTTATTGAATTCTTTGCCTGACTCTTATAAGGATGTGAGAAATGCAATAAAATACTCAAGGGACAAATTATCACAAGCAGTTATAATAGATGCCTTAAGATCGAAAGATTTATAAGTTAAAAAGGAATCAAGCGAGGCTAGGGAAGAAATTATGTTGTAAGAGGGAGAAGTGAAAAAAGAGAGAATGACTTTCAGGTGAGGAAAGTGAAAGAAGAATCAAAGGGGAGATCTAAATCCAAAGATAAAAGTAACAAGAAGTGTTATGGCTGTGGGGAGCTAGGGCACTTTAAGAGAGATTGCTTTG